TTTCAGAAATGTGAAATATTCTGAAACCTCTTTGTCAACATCATCATCCGAAGCCCCTCTCTCTTCCAAAATCAATTGGATGGCCCTCGCAGCAGATAATCTTTTGCCATCTTGATCAGCTGTGATGAGGAACCACACTGGCCAAGTCTTATTTATAGTATTATGCCCCTAATTTGCAGGTGGGACAGGGTATGAGAAAATAAAATTTGGATTCCTCAAGAAAGAGGGTAAAATGTGTGGGAATGTAAGAGCAGACGGTGTTGGTAGTTGAATTTTCAACAATGTTGCAACTTTGTGCGGGAGCAGGAGGGGAAGAAAACACTATCAGCAGCACCAGAAAGGAGGAAGACAGAGTGTGGGAACACAGGACCTACACTTTCAACACTTTTATTAGACCTGGGTCCAGTGGACCCGAATACCTTGTATGTAATGTAAATGCGTGGGGGGAGGTACAGTATGAGGTCAGTGAAAATTAGTTCGGATTTATGTTCTTCACAGAAAATAAGCCAAAGCCAATGAATTTCAGGTTGAAAAAATAATTAATTGTTTAATTTTTCTTTTGAAAAAAAAATGAAAATGGGTCTCACAGACCCGAACACCATACAAGGGTTAAAAGGGGGGCCACTGTGTCTATCTGTTGCTTTGCCCACACTTCCTTGATGAATATATTAGTTCTCTTTAATGAAAGACCAAAGGCTTGTAGCACCCCACTCCTCACGCCTGGACTAATTGATGTGGGTAATATGATGCTAACTGTCTGAAGATAAAAACACAAGCGTGACGATCCTACCAATCTTGCCTTTGTTGACTGGGCAGCTTTTAACCTGATCTCATAACGTGCCGTTAAAGCTTTCCTAAGGCCCTACCTTTGTTTGTTTTGAACAAAGCAAACACATGCCACCAGCAAGACCTAACACCTCCACTGGCTGCATGCGAAGGCCCTGTTGCTTTGCAGGAGTGACTATGATACCACGCCTTAGTGAACGAACCACAAGGCATCCGTCTTACCGGGTCACTGTCGAAGTGCAGAGACACATCAGTAGCAGCAGTGGGTCATCAGGTGGACAGGTCATGACCTGGGAGACGGCTTCATTAGACAAACTGGGAGCCAGTTACTCCCCAACTGCCAAGCTAAAGGAGCATTAGAGTGAGAGGAAGAACACTCAGTCACCTCGTTCAGTGGCACGAACAGCAGGATACCAGATGAAGGGTTCATTTTTTTCTTCCCGTTGTGCCATAATGTGAAATATGCTGCAAAAATACTGTAAACCCAGGAGATCTTTAATAGTTTTCTTTAACATTGAAATGCACCACACAGTTCCCATGTGGTTTAAGTTTATGTTCACCCTTCCTGTTTCTCTGAAAAAGGGCATACTGTTCATTGTGCAGGGATTACCGGTGAAAGAGTTTCTGAAACAGGCTTAGCGGATGTGAGGAATCATCCACGCTGATTTAGAAGTGTCCAGAGACTCTAGAGCAGTACATTTTGGGGGTTGGGGGCTCTAGAGTTAAGAAGACCCCTGGAGATACTTTTAGGAATCCTCGCTTCTTTAGGGGGGCAGGGTAGGTGTCTGAACTGGAACTGGCCAGTTCATCTGAGTGCGGACTAATGAAAACAAATGATCTGACAAGGTCAAAAGGTTGAGATCAAGGCTGAAGGTTCCCCCGCCCTTCTCAATTTCCAACATGTGAGATTAATGAGGGCAGAAAACAGCTATTTCTCTGTATCATTTACTCCCCGAGGCCTCTGAACCTTATGGCAGCAGCGTGTACCCCACCTGTTGGCCCATTAAGGCATATGACACTAAGCCAGAGGGCGTCACTCCTAGTCAGAGGTTTTAACTGCTTTGTGCTGTGAACTGACATGCAGGGACATATTTTGTTATGATAGCCCTATCCATAGCCTTCCTATAGCTTAATTTATAAGTACTCTCTTTGCATTAAGAAGAAAAGAAAAACGCAAAATGATGTGTCGTAGGTTGTAGTCACAATTGTTAGCAGTGTTTCCTCTGAATAAAGGTTTGCACAGTGTTTTCAGGCAATAAATAAAAGAGCAGCAATGACACTGTGACTAATAAATATGCATTTTAGATTTACAAGTTTTGGATTTATGTGATAAACTCAGCAGACGAGTGTGCCCAAAAGACAAATCCAGCTAGTCCAAACATTTGAGCTCATACGTAATTTTAGTTTGAATGTGGGAACATACCAGACGTTATGATGCTAACACTGTTATTTCACACTGCAGCTGTGAAATTTTTAAGTGGTTTATAAAGCAAGACTGCTCCCTTCTGGACAGTTACCCTAAAAGCAGCAAAGAGCCCATAACACAGATGCAACAAAGCCTATGCCCTTACTTTTAACTTTCACAAAGGAGACAAATAAAAAGACCCTTTCATAGTTGATTTTTTTCAGTTCTGCACTCGAACCAGTTATAGGACAGAAAATATATTTCAGAAATATGTCTGTTATTCTTAGTGTCATTAAAAATTACATTATGAGCACAAGAACTTCAGTCAAAGTTTTGTATTTTTCACGTAATAATTAACTTTTTCCCCTTAATATTATAACTTAATACTACATGTGCCATGTAGTTACATTGCACTGGCAAACAAATGACACTAGATGGGGATGTTGTGCAAATGCAACAAAAGGGTGAATTGGCAATGCATTGGCACATAATGGACATTAGATGGGGTTGTGGCCAAGGCTGACTTACAGTAATTGAGCTATTAGTGGAGGTTTGAGTGCAGGTTTCCTTATTGAAACTCCTGTAGCAGCTTATTTTGCCATAAGGGTAAAAATAAAAATACAAATGAATAGTAAAATTTTCTCAATCAATCAACCAATCAATCAGTAATTAACTGGGATTCCCTTCACGCTTTCAGCGGACCAGTATAGGCAACCACTGATATCTACAGAAACACACACAAAAGAAATAAATACAAAAATGCAAAAATGAATACACATTTGATCTGTTTAAGCCTAATAGCTCACAGGAACCGGCAAGAATAGAGTCTTTATTCAAGAGTCAGCCATAGATATACTACATTTCCCACACTGCATTGCTGCGCAGCCGCTACTTGTCACTGCTGTCGCTCCCTGCCTGTGTGTGTACGCGCGGTGGACTGGTCCAGCATCCCTGCGCAGGCAATGGGGCAAATATAGATGTGCAAAAAATATACATATATCTATCAATTGAAAATATGTAATCGTGGAATACTTCTTCGGCGCTGGCAGCTTGCGATGAGGGAAAGGGGGGGAATGGGAGATTGGAATTTGTGCTGCACCTCTGTGGAGGATGGAGATATGTATTGTGAGAAGTAATGCGGAATATTTCCCCTCGTAGGTGCTAACAGAGAAAATACAAGATGAAGAAGCAATTCAATCGGATGCGACAGCTCGCCAACCAAACGGTGGGAAGGTAAGGAAACCGTTTCCGTGCGCTATTGTCGCGACTGGCCAAGTCAAAGAGAGGAGAACCCCCCTGCATGGCCCCAGTAGGATGCGAATCGGATGAATGCAAACAGACTTTCATTCTTTAATTTGCCCCTTTTTTCCCCTTTTTGCGCTTTTTGCTTATTTACTGAAGAATAATGTGTACCGCATGTTCAAAACGCCCTAAGTGTTCTATGCGTAATACCAACTGGAATAGGCTACCGCATAGGCAGCGTGTAGGCGCATTGCCACAGTAGCTCCAACCTGCCCACGGAAATATGTTAAATATAGAAAATCACAGCGACATGGACCATCAAATAGTGACGACCCAATTTTTATGACAGAGTATCATCGGTGAAGTTTTACAAATATGGCATTGCCAAGTTATGTCGTGATTAAAATAGACTCCTGTCACCGAACCTGTCGATAGGTAAACGTGATGCAGACGGATGCAGTGTGGGCTGCGACGTGAGGGGAAAATGAGAAAAAGGCGCAATGTTTTTATTACGCAGTGATATCAGCTGTGAGGAGGGAAGCACCTCTTAGGCGTGAGTTATCCACTCAGTGAATTCCTGAAGGTCGTGATCACGCCTCCCTGATGCGCTTCTGGAATGATATGTGTCCGTTTAAATGGACGGTTTTCCATTCCACTGAACGTCCTAAAAATAACTAAATAAGGGGTTTCTGAAGACAGATTTCCACCTCTGTCCTCACCGTTTCTTTTCATGTTCTTGCTCTGCTTCTGAATGGTTCTGAAATCCGGTGACATTTTACACCGATCCAGTGGGCTTATCAGTCTTCCCCCACCCTCTGTGTTCAGGGAAAGCAGCTTGTCAAGCAGCGCTGGGCCAGAAGGTGTTCTCTGCTCAGCAAGGGGGTGGGAGGGGAGGTGGGGGATTAGGACCAGGAGGTGTGGGTCATTAGTATTATTATTATTATTATGCGCCCAAAAGGAGGGGCACACATTGCAGGCTGTGTTGGTGCTATCATTTTTGTTTTCCCCGTAGGTCATACTGTTTTTTCTAGCCTCAGTCTTTTTTATCATCATTTCTTCTAGTGACTCATTAGAGTGTTTGTGTGTGTGGGTGTGATTCTGGATATGTGTGTGGGCAAGCAGGTTGGAGGACTTCAGATGGCCACAGAAGATATGGCACTTTTCCTTTTATGCATGTGTACGTGCACTTATACAGCTTATTTAATGCAGATGGTCCAAGTGGTGCTAGTGTAAGTAGAAAATTAGCTCTTTTCTGGGGCTGTCTAAGTTGGTCTGTTTGTACCACAGTGATAATGAGGAACATAACTCTCCTCAGACAGCCCTGCTGGGCTCTTAATAATAACAGTGGTCCATAACAAGAACTGACACTGTCAAACCATAGTCAGAGATTTGATCTTTGGATCAAGAAGTAATGGATCTGACCCTGTGGTGACCTTGAACAGTGTCAAACACTGGCTATGCCATGTGGAGATAGATCACTATCTATCTGGAAAAACCAAATCTAGCAACCAATCATGCTGGTTGGTTGCTGGTTTGACGATTGTGTTTTGTTTGTTTTGGGGTTTCTTTCTCTAGAAAAGAGCAGGTGTCTCCATTCAGTAACTATGTCTGTATTTCTCCACCACTTATAATTTGAAGGATTTTAAGAGGTGTATAGAGGTGCTGAAGCATGGTTCATCTGGAGAGCTAAATTTAAACAGCTCTTACTTATATTAAACCACGTAACATAAATGTTTCTTGATATTACCACCAATAAAGTAAACACGTATGCTGTATGCATACACTATGTGTGGATCCATGTGTTCTGCACCTACATGCCTTAGAGTGTTAGTGTGGGACAGTGGGAACAATGTGTACATATCACAAATGTGCAGATTTTTTGGACTTTTATAAGCATTTATACAAGAAACAGTCTTATCATGCCAATGTCATTTTGCTGCTCTTCCTTGCACACTGCTCTTGCAGAAGATATACTATTATATAGTACATTAAGTGAAATGGACTTAATTTAGCTTTACCCCTGAGCTGTCTTTTAATTCCGCTGGTTTTGTCCTGTGAGTAATGCAGGGCTCCTATAGGAAAGAATAAAGTGCCAAAACAGTGAAAACAGGCTTCATATTAACTGTTCTGCTGACTCAAGCTTTAACCATCCTCAGACTGGAGCAGGGTTTCTCTGTGGGTATGGCCTTTGGTCCCCCTGAAACTCAGTGCTCTCTTTAGATTTGATAATACCAGTGACAGGTCCTGTTACTAAGAATATGTAGAGTTACATTTTATCATTTAGAAACAAGATTTAATAATAAAAGTGTGCTTTAGTTTATTTATTGCAGATTTCTTTATTAAGAATAGACTCATAACTCATATCTTTTTAATATCTGTTTTTTACTATATCTGCTCGTCTTTTTGTCTTGTATTGGCATTTGTAATGGCAAGTCTATAGTGAAGGTCTTCTTTCAGCTGGGGGTTGGTGTTCAGGTGTGCTGTGTCAGCATCCCTCTGACTCTCCAAGGCGGCTGCTGCTGCTGCTGCTTCTGCTTCTGCTGCAGCTTGCCTGGGTGAGACCCATGTCATGTGATCACCAGCTTGACCAATTACCTCTGTGAAGCAAAAGGGTGTGCAGCCATGCATACTTTAGTGCTAACAGAAATGTGTTTTGGTACAGCAGGAGAGACCTGTATTGTAAATATTATTTTTGGACATTAACCTTTAATTGAGATTTTAGTCTTCGTGAAAACTCTCCTGTACTTTAGTGTTTGCGTTTGTCTAAAAAAAGACATTCTAATTTTTTTGTGTCCTTACAGGAAGCAAGCAAAAGATTGTATTGGTTCAGCCAGCTCCCACCCTTCATTTCTCTTGACCTATTTCTCTATTCCCAACTCACTGTCCTATGTAGGTCTAGGACAGACTGTTACAAAGATTCTATGATTCAAGACTGTAAGAATATGTTTTGCTGCACAGTAACATTTACATATAGATACAAACAAAAAAAACAGGACTATCTCATTCCCTAACACACCCACATTCCATCTTTGCACTCTGCTTCTGCCACCTTTGTGGTGTTCGCAAGTACCTCTATGATAGATGCATTCTTCTTACTTGTGCCTTCTAGCTCACCAATCCACAATGCAATTATCTGAAAATGGCAGTCATTTGTGGGCTGCTTTCTCTTTCCTGCATTGTCTCTTACTCGGTTTCTATCTCTTTTCTGACGCAGTAGGAGAATGAATTATTGTTAAGCACGCAGGTGGCCGATTTACAGATTGTGGGTGTGGAAAATGTCCACATTTTTTTGAAGGTTTCAGGCCCGTTATCCCGTTATCTGGTGTAACACTAACACAGAATTTCATAAAAAAATAACATCATATCAACAGTCAAACATTGTGGTGGTCAAACAGTGTGATGCTCTGGGGCTGCTTTGCTGCTTTAGGAAATGGTCGACTTGATGTAATTGATGGAACCATGAATTCTGCTGTCGACCAGAATATCCTGAAGTTAAATGTCTGGTCATTAGTTCATACCCTGAAGCTCAAGCACACTCGGCTTATGTAGCAGGACAATCTAAAACACACCAGGAAGTCCACATTTGAAAGGTTTTTGAGCGACCTAGTCGAAGTTTAGTACTAATATTAGGTTGAGATATAAGCTTAAACAGGCTGTCCACGCTTGAAATCCCTCCAATGTGGCTGAGTTAAAACAATTTTGCAAAGAAGAGTGGGCCATAATTCCTCCACAGTGATGTGAAAGACTCATTGCCAGTTATCAGAAATGCGTGATTGCAGTTCTTGCTGCCAAGAGTGGTGCAACAAGTTATTATGATTAGGGCTCATATTATTGTTTTACACAGGGTCAGGTAGGTATGGGTAAGTTGTTGTTGTTTTTTCCTTAATAAATGAAATCATCGTATAAAACAATGCATTTTGTATTTACTTGAGTTACGTTGGGTTTTTCTACTATTGAAATTTGTTTGATGATCTAAAACATCTAAGTGTGACAAATATTCACAAAATAAATAAGCAATGAGGCAAATACTTTCTCACTGCACTGTATAAAGTAGAGAGAGGAAGGGGCAGAAACAGCATTGAGCACTAATATGTAGCTGACCATATTAACACTGAAAACAAATTACTGTTAGAATAAGAAGTAGGTGCCTGTGCTTGTTTTTAAATTCAGTGCAAGATTAACACATTCACACCTCTTGGTGAGAATGTGTGCCAGGCTCTAAAAGGGCATATGGTCGCTGACAGGTAACTTGTTGCATGAAAATGCAGCGTCCCCTGTTCCTCCTCTTAGCCTTGATTCTCTGGGTTGGAACCATATAAATCTTGGAGCAAGTTGCATTCACAATCTGATTCACTGCTCTTGTTGTCTTTTTTGTAATCATTTCTAGCTGAACATGGAACGGCATTATGGTGTTATGAACCGTTATGAAGCCATCAACAGTCAGAAGTGAATCATTATGTGTGTGCTAGATCATGCGAGAGCCGTTGCTAAATAAGTGTAACCCTCCCATATCCCCATCAGTGCCTTTCAGAGACAGCATACTACAGGGTATGGTAGAGATAAAGAGCCTTTGTCAAGGGGCCATTTTGGCCATCAAAAGAGAGATGATGTAATATCAGAGAGAAGCGCTGTTTCTCCCTCTCCATGTCACTCGTGTTGATTCATTCAAAAGACTAACTTCTTAAAGAGCCCCTGTACTAAAGATCAACTAAAAAACTCGGTACTGATTTTTTATTTTTTGGGGTTTTTTTTAAAGAACAAACGACAAAACTTGCAAAATTTTGAAGGAGATTGATTAATCCCATCAGATCCAGATTCTCCTGTGGAGTTTTATTTTCGTTTTGTCCCTATCGACCTGGCTCCTGTACAAGTGATCATGTGCACAGCAGGGTGGCAAATAGAAGAACTCACATGATAATAATGGTGTCACAGAAATTCTGCAATATATCACAAGACAATCTTCTCCGATACATAATGAGATCTGTGTAACTGAAGTAATTTGTCCTAAATTTTGTGTATTTATTCACTGCGCTTTAATGTCAGTGTGAGCATGTGTGTGTGTGTGTAATGTCATTATTGTTCATTCCAGTAATGTGTCAGTTGAGCTAATTAGAGATCTGATTCGCTTTCCACCACCATCCACCATTTTCCTCTTGTGAATATCTTCTTCTTCATTTAAGTTTCCATTCGCATTACCCTCATTTATCTGAGAGCCCCCCCCCACACACACACACACACACACACACACACAAACTCGTAAAATAGCAAGTCAAAATGTCAGGGAAGCTGTTTAACTGTTTATTAACACATGGGGCCAGCGACTCAATAACTGGATTGCAAGAGAAAGCAGTAGAATAGCATTGCTGCATCAATATTTTGACGTGTCATGTTAAAGTATTAGGGTTGACCCAGGCTGTTGCTCATGATATCATCTCCAACAGGGATGCAGAGAATGAATCACTAAAGGCTTAATTTATGATGATACCACTGTACATAAAGTTCTCTGGTATATAATTTTTAGTACTAAACTGCTATAAATGAACTGGACAAGCTTGGCATTGTTAAAAAGAAAAATGAGACGGGTGACTCCCTTTAAGCATGCTCACTTCCGTCCATTCAAGAATGTCAATAGGCTCAGAACAGGAAGCACTGATCTACTAATAACAATTTCCTGTTTTATTTACCTCTTTTTCCCCTTTGTTGTTTAATCATAAAAGATCATTCTCCAGCTCCTTTTTTTTTTTTGTGCACAGCAAATATAGTCGTTCCTTTGCTTTGGTTGCCTAGAAACGCTCATTTAGTATTAGCTGTTTCATCACATTCGTTCGACTCTGCCAGCGCACATGTTACATTTCCCAAAATGGTGAAGAAATTTATAGCTTTAACAAAAAAGGTGGCAAGAAAAGGTTTCATTTCTAAGTAAAGGATTGTTTTTACCTTTGTTGCTTTGTCGTAGTTTATTGTTTTCTTGCATTTGAAGTCATTTAGCTGCTGTGTGTTTGTGTGTGTCTTTCGGCAGACGACAAGTGTAAAAACACAGTTAAGCCACATTGTTGCGCGCCTTTTTGTCGAAATTATTCAGCGCACCATGAATAAAGTTATTAGAGATAACTCAGTGCTTGTGTTTCCAGTGAAACATTACTGAACACTGCAGGCTCTCACTCTCTCTTTCATTCACTCCTTCTCTGGACGTGTATGTGTGTGTGTGTGTGTATATGTGCATGCCTATGTGCATGTATGTGCTCACAGTTGCATACTTGACAGAACTGTGACCTAGTTTAGTGGACAACTACAGTAAGTGGGTTTTTCTGTTTTAGTAACCCCGTATCCCATCGCCAGCCCCGCCTCATCGTTTGGGTAGAAACCAACTGGGCCTCTAGATGCACGATGCAGGTCTAGAGAAAACAAAAAGCAATCAGTGGAGAAATATTCACGGAGGATCTCAAGCATAAACACCATTGTGGGTTTTTGTGTGTGTCATTGCTTGTGTGTATGTATATAACTGACTGTGGATCTCATGCCAGCGCTCCAGGGTGTGCAATGCCCCGCTGAGGCCCAGGGCCACCATTCTGCTCCACTACCCTCCCCTAGCAGTACAAGACCTAGCATCCAGTGTAGCTCTTCCAGGCCTCAGAGTAGGGGCCTTTGTTAGCCATGCTAGCAGTGTGAGCAAACCAGATAATGACCTTTTTTTTCCTTTTTGTCCTGCTGAATCTCAGACGAACTGAAAGTCAGCAACAGCCAGCAATTGGCTCGCTACCAATGCAATATGTTCTAGACAGCGGCTGCTTCTTTATTCGCATTTTGATTATGTCAGCATGGATTATTTATGCTTTCATAAACCATGCTCAGTGCTGGGGGGCTAACGATGCAGCTGTCCAACATTGACACAGCTTGAGATAAAAAATATATAGATGCAAGCTAACATTTTAACTGCAACTTAACAGAAATACAACGACTTATAATCTCTGAAACCTTACAAATATGTCCTAAACAGACTTTACCTAGACTTTTATTCATGTCAGCTCTTTGCTAATGTTCCTCCCAGATGTAGATAAAGTTTGTCATTCTGGCAGCTGATCATCTTGCGCAAATATTGTGTCAACTCATTTATCTTCCTCCGCTCTCTGGGATCGTTCATGTTTGCATTGCTCCGATTTGAAGTCCTTTTCACCAGTGTTACATTTTGCATGCAAGCCTGTAATAAATTTCTGCAATTTGAAGATTACTTCATTAACTTGCATATTTTTAGATGCCTGTGCACATGTTTGTATTGAGTCATCACCAGTTCCAGGTAAAGGAATGCCTGCATAGTGGCAGATGGTTGGCATAAACCTGGCAACGTCTCCCTTTCCCTCCATGAGCATACCACCTGCGAGGCTGCCAACTCTCCCACGTCTTTATTTTCCTCCCAGGTCTCACTTTGCACGATATTTGCTGAGAAGAACATCTCTCCTCACCTCTAAGCTGTCCCTGAAGCTAGACTTACATCAGGTTCCGTAGGGCCAAGAAACTTCAGTACCCCCCCCCAGTTTTCATGCCTCGACAATGCTGCTTTTTCTCTGCATCTTCGCAGCAAGATTATGTGTGATGCTGCTTTCCTAAGAGGAAATGCCACTCTCTGAAAACAAACAAACTCATAGAACAAGACAGCGCTGCCTTTGAAGATAGGCTCCAATCTGTTTGATGTCTAGGTCATAATAGCCACACCGCTTGCGGTCCTTGAGGATGCTAGATGTCTATGATTTAAATTGTTATTGCCTCCTTTTAAACAACAAATCCAGTCAGCTGATCAGCCTGCAATAGACAGTGGCAGTGACAATGCAGAGCTACTACCTACTTTCAGTACATAATACAGTCTTGCATGGGAAGTTGTTTCATAAACCATGGCATTTCAGAGTTTTTTTGTCTGGTGGAGTGTTCAGCAGAACGGTGCCAAACTTTAGTGCGCTGCTTGGGTTATTTTCGTCCTCCCTTTGTCATGTAATCGGCAATCTGCGATCGCAGTTATCCTTATAAATCACGCCAGAAATCTCTTGCTTTGCTATCTTTCTGTCGCTCTCTCTTAGACATGCACACACACATTTCCTGTATTTTGCCTCCTAGCTCATTGAGTAGAGCAGTTTTCCGAGAGGCTGGCTGTGATTAGATCCACTGGTACATAATTTGACCCAGTTCCCATGGCTCCATGCTCACATTTTTTTTTCTCTGAGGCTGGAGATGCTAATGCCTCAATCGTTCAGCTTTCTGTTGTTGGTAATGTGTAAACAACTGTGTGTCAACATTAGACACTTTTTAGTCATTTCATACTTTGCCTCTTTTTAGCAACAGTTTTAGAGAGCTGTGTATGTTGCCTGTTTGGTAACATAGATGAAAACAGCATTTTGGTAATTTGCTTCTGACTTATTTCCCCTGGCTCGTGACAACTATTGCACAAACCAAGGTCCTTTATATAATTTGCTTTGCCAAGATAAATTCAGATTCATTATTTGTGATTGGCATGGGCATAGTCACAATCACAGGAAGAGGCTGTGCATACAGGAAGGGAAGTCCCAAGTAACTGTGTTCTGCTGGGGATCTGAAAATGCCTGTCTGCCTGATCCCTGTTTCTTGGCAGAAAGCATATGTTAACCTCCACATTAGGTATTCCTTATATATTGTTTATATATTGCATGCATTAAAGTTTGGTTGGTGTCAGATTCTGTAATAGTTTACCACAAAAAAGAAAATGTACAATAAAATTGTTCTTAGGAGACAAGTGGCTACTCTGTCTTTTCTTATAGGATCATAAACGGCATGCTAAGCTATATGGAAAATGTCCTTGCTGACTAAAGTCATAAAATGAAAGCTGATTGAACTGAGCTGACACCATGTATTTGTAAAATCCAGTGGTTTGCTCTTTTCTGAACTAATGGCTCTTTCACTTCTCCGGATGAGTAGCTTTATCTGCTTCATCTGCTCTGCAGCCCTTTCCTTCAGTCTTTGGCTCAATCCCCATCTGCTGGATTTTTAGTAGGATGTGATGCAGTGGGAATTAACACATTTGAATCGGCGGCTTTAATGTGCTGTTGTTATGTATTGTTGAAGATGATGACTCAAAGAGACACTTGCATTCTTACACAAACTCACCCACTTACAACAAAGAGACAGGTGTGCATGTGGCCTATAAATTTTGGAGCATTGCCACATTGGTAAATGAGCCTTCTATACCCACAGCATTTTGGGAAAGACACGCAAGAATTGTAAAATGTGTTAAATTATTCAAAACTAAACTGGCATGTCATCAAGAACTTAAAAAGGTAGCATGTCTGATGTTATTTCTCCTGTGTGAATCAGAAACTGTGATTGTGGCAGCTGCTCTGTGTGTATATGGAAGCACCAAGATACCGCCTACCCAATGAAGAGCATACCAAAGCTTCGTAATTTTTTGTGCGCGTTGTGCAATAATTCCTTTCATTTGTTTTCATCAGAAAACAAAAAATAATATAAAATAATACAAGGAAGAGAGAAGCCAAATACTTTAAACCATGGGTTAGTTTCCAAGTGAGAAAGTTTGCTTCACTTTCTTGAATGCAGTGTTTAATATATGAAATTTAATAAGCTCTGCATAGGAAAGATGATGAATGAACATTTTCCAAGGATTTCTGCTACTTTGCAGTAATGTTTTATTGGTCTAGAATTGATTCCCATATCTTTCCCTACATACTGATAAAATTGCCACATGCAATCATGTTTCTGTGGATTTAAGAATACGAAAGAAAAAGTATGAATATATATGTTTGTTTGTTTTTTTTATCTTTACAGGGCAGAAAAAACAGAGGTGTTGAGCGAAGACCTTCTACAGGTGAGCTGTAGATGTGTATGGGAGCTGTGATGTCAGATGTGTATATATGTGCACCTGTGAACAGCAGTGAATTATTAGTAGCCTGTAATAAATTGATAATGATTACTAAACATCAAAAATAATGTCCGTCAAAATCACCACATGGTACATTGGGAACAATGTACTTTAATTGCTATATAATCTGTACTTTTTTTAAAAGTGCACTTTAAAGTCACAGTTCTGCCAGCTTTCCAAAGTGTTTTTTATTTTTATTTTTTCTTTGGACATTGGCTGCTTTTTCAATTATTTTCAGTCAAATCCTCAAACATGACCATTTTCAGAGGACACAGAACAGAACAAAAACCAGCCAAAATTCAAAGAAGAGCTCTAAATGTCCTTGAAGAAGCCCAGAGAACTATTCCTAAATACTAATTGAAGAAAT